GACCCAGTGACTTGTGAAACATGCCCTGTGCTTGTGCATGCATGCCCAAATCCCAAAAGGAGGGAGAAGCGGAGAAGACGGCATTGCAGCAGTACCATTGTCCATGGAGGTGCTTTCTCTCTTTCCTTCTGTTTCTCTGTCTCTCTCTGTCTCCAGTGAGTACATCTGTCCTCTGGCAAAATTAGAAAGAAAGAAAGAAAGAAAGAAAGAAAGAAAGAAAGAAAGAAAGAAAGAAAGAAAGAAAGAAAGAAAGAAAGAAAGAAAGAAAGAAAACTACTCTTTTAAAGCAGTGAGGTAGGACTGTGAACAAAGTTACCCAAGGCCTTGTTACCTTGCCCAGGTGAGAGACCCTTGTCCTTTGCCGAGAAAACAGATAGAGCATAGGACTCAGGAGCCCCATCAGCATTTCCTGATTGTATGCTGCAGCGGCAAGGATCTGATGATCGGGGCAAGAGAGGAGTCTTGGCTCTCTTCCTCACCAGCCATGAGACCTGTGCAAGTTGCTTTCTCCTCGAGGATCAGTCGTCGTATCTTTAAAATGGGATAATGGTGCTAATTCTTGCATCGCATGAGATGGTGCTCAATGTACCGTCTAGCCCCCAAGTGCTAGCTACGGCACTGTGCTCCTCATCTACCCTCCCGTGTGTCCTGATTCGAGTCATCCCAGTGGCATTCAGAGTGTGCAGTTGCACAGTAGCTGTGAGGATGTCTGCTTTTCTTCTGAAGGATGTCTCGGATGTGAAAGAGCAGCTGAGCAAATCTGGGAGGGCAAAGGCTTGGTTGGTCAAGGGACAGAGGGTATCGAGCGCCTCAACTCGGGCTTCCGCAAGACTGTTGCGCCTGGATACTGATGGTTCAGTGGGACGCGGAGGCGGTCTGACCTTCCAGCTTGTGCCTCCCGGTGGGAAAACTGGCCATGCTTAGTGCATGCAGTGTGTATGTGAAGTTCCAGTGAACTGCCGCCTGCTGTGGGCTGCGAATGCCATTTCTCCAGTGTGGCGACTCTTAGCCCTCTAAGCGTATGGCATCTCCAGTGCCTTGCCTAGTGGGGGTAAATCCTGCTACGTCTGGCGTGCTGCGTTAGAACCAGACCACGTGGTTCAGATCTTGGCATGCTGCTTACTAGTTGGGTTACCTCTTAAAAATCACCCAGTTTATCTGTGCATTCAGTTCCTCATCTGCAGAGTGAAAATAGTAGGCTGTGTCAAAGCTATTCTCAGTTAAAATTCCCACCAGTCAAGTGTAAGGGTCCCCGTTTCTCCACATCTTTAGCAACACTCTGTATTTTCTGTTTGCTTCGTAACAGCCAAGCTGTTGGAGGTGAGTGATATTTCACAGTAGTTTTGACTTGTGTTTCCGAATGACCACTGATGTTGAGTTCCCCGCATGTGCTTATCGATCGTTTGTGTATCCTCTTTGGATGAACATCTATTGAAATCCTTTGTTTATTATCAAATTGAGTTATTTGGGTCTTGTTGCTGTTGCGCTGTAGGAATTCTGTCCATATCCTGGATGTTAATTCTTGATCAGATGTAGTACTTGTAAATACTTTTTCCTCTTTTGTAAGTTGCCTTTTTACTCTTGTTGATAGAGTCCTTTGATGCACATGCTTTTAATTTTCCTATAATCAAATTGATCTTTCTTGTTCTTTCCTTGTCTGTGACTTTGATGTCATGCTTAGAGACCCTTGCCAAACCCAAGGTGGTGAAGATTTTCCCCCGTGTTTTCTTCTAAGAGTAAGTTTCTTCTAAGTGGAAGGTGTACTTAAAATGGCTACAATAGTAAATTTTATGTTTTGTATCTTATCAGAATAAAACCTTTTATCCCAGGACTGGCAGATGGCGTTGTGGTTATGTTCCTGGACTCCCACTTGGCTGACCACAGTTTGAGTCCCAGACCTGGCGGCTTGAAAGTCAACGCTGGGGACATGTGCTTGTGTACCCAAGATCCCAGGAGGAGAATAGATGAGATGTGAGTATGATGTGGCCATCCCCCTAGGAGGTGATTTCTTGCTTTCTGTCTCTCTGTCTCTGTGGAGAGTGCACACTATAGCAAAAAACAAAACAAAAGCAAACAAACAAACAAAACCCAAAAAACCTCTCTCAAAAACAAACAAAAAGCCGTTTGCCCCTGTCTCTCCATACACCCCATAAATGGGCTTACTGGGCAAGAGACTTCTAAAGAAGCAAACAGTATTATTTTGTAAACTGTAGTCTGTTACAGAGATTTCAGGGTAAAGGATTAATGATTGACTAATTTGACTTAGCCCACCGCTCTGACTACTACAGAGTCTGGTATCAGATTAAACCTGGATGTATTTTCTGCTCTGGTTTCGCCTTCCAGCCCTAGTTCTACCTCTGAGTCCCTAAGGCAAGTCTCATCTCTTCCTCACGCGGTAGCTCTCCCTATGAAGAATGGTAGCAGCCATGACTGTGGTAGCCATGACTGGCTGCATGCCTTCCTGGGTTGGCACAGGACACATGTTTTAGGGTAGGTGGGATGTCCGAGTGAAGAGAACAAGAAGGCTAGGGAGATGGGGGTGGGGGTGGGGAGACAGGTGATACAACCGAGGAAATGACGGAACTGGGATTTGAATCCTTGGGAAGTGTCGGCCTCTCTTTTCTGGACACGAGACCACGTTACGCTTTCGGCCGGAACTGGGATTTGAATCCTTGGGAAGTGTTGCCTCTCTTTTCTGGACACAAGACCACGTTACCCTTTCGGCTGGGTGTCTCCTCAGCCCCCTTCACAATCCCTCCATCATTTCCCACATGGGTTCATCCTGTATCTCCATCAGCCCATTCCTCCATTTGCAGTGAATACTGGGTAAGGCCCCACTAAGCACAGGAGAGCTTCTCTTCTCCCTAGCTGTCTACTTTTTCCCTGATGCCCTCCTGGGCCTCGTACCTTACAAGGAGGATGGCCCCACAGAAGGACAGGACTATTGGCAGAAATCCATTCTGAGGCCCCTGAAGGCCCTTCTCCTCACCTCTCCCTTTGTTGAAAGCAGAGGTCAGCCCTACCCATGCTTCCTGCGGTATTTCCTCCGGGAGCCCCTGCAGAGGAAGATGTCGCCATCTCAGGATTAACAGCCTGTTTGTTTAAAGGGCTTATTACTGGTGCTTAATGCTATTTTGACAGATGAAAGTGAGTCAATTATAGCCGGAAATAGCTCTGCCTGCATAGGTATCTTCCAGGTGGTTGCTGATTCTACATTCAAGGGGCTTTTGCTCTCATTGTGAAAGGGCAGTCTTCCTTCTTCTCTTATCCCTGGGACCCCCAAACCACCTAGAGGCTCCTCCTTCCAGGGGGAAACAGCGTTTAAGGCATGGAGCCTGAATCCTTGAGGTGAGGGCTGCAGCAGACCTTTTCTGTGATGGGTGAAGGAGAAGGGTACTGAAAAGGGCCCTGACAGGTCAGCCCCTGGGGTGAGGGATGTGGCCCAGTCAGCCCTGTGTCCCACACAGACGTCACTGGCTCCGTCCGCCCTGGGATCAAGGTCTCTTTAGGTCTTTTTTAGGGGCAGTGGGTTTTCTGTCAGTGCCCATCATGACACCAGTGTGAGTCACAAGTCTGGATGACTTAGGAATCACCTTTGTGAGGACAAGATTCCTCTGTGGGTGGCTCAGGGAACTTTCCAGGCCCACACTAAGTTATGCTAAGGCCCCAGTAAAGAGCATTGCAGTGCCCCTTGGTCAGGGGGAGTCAGTGCACAGAACTGTCTAGTGTCCCTGCAGCAGGACAGCGACCTGCGATGTGGTTGGACAGCCATCCAGGTGCAGGGCCTAACCCTGAGCTAGAAGGCCAGGAGCGTAGTGGGGCCTACAAACAATCTCCAACATACGGTGGTTTGATTTATGATGACTTGACTGCGATGGTGTGAAATCATAGGCATTCCGTAGGAAACCGTCCTTTGACTTTTTTTTTTTTTGAGAAATTTTTGTTATAGGGCGTGTGCACTCACCGGAGAGACAGAGAGAAGGTGAGAAATCACCCCCCGCCCTGCAAAGAGGTTGGCCATGTGCAATCCCTTCCCTTCCATTCTCCTCTCAGAATTTTGGGTGTGCATGCACATGTGCCCAGTGTGAGTTTGAAGTCACTGGATCCTGGACTTGAACTTCAGTTGGCCATGTGGGAGTCCAGCACCTTAATCGCTATGCCACCTGTTGGCCCCATACTTTGGATTTTGATTAAAAGGTTTTTTTTTTAATATCTTCATTATGGAATATGGTTTGTGTTCGATGATTCTGCAGTCTACCATATGTGTAGGTTAATGTCAGTTTTCTAAGCATGTTAAGGGCAGGCTAGGCTAATCTTTGATGTCCGGTAGGTTAACTGTATGAAATACATTTTTTTGACTGATACTTCCAATTTATGAGGGGCTCTGTCAGATCAAAACCTTACTGTAAGTTGAGGAGCATCTGTATTTGTAACAGGCAACAGGCATCTCGCATTTAGTGTGTTCGAGAATGAATTCTCTTCCTCAGTACCCCCCAACATGCATGAGCTTCTCCAGGCTCTCCTGTCACAGAACATGGCACCAGTGCCCACCTGTCTGCTCAAGCTCCTAGCTTACCATCCCCACCCTCACATTACGAGAAAACGGAAGTTTAGCGAAACTAAGGTGACACACTTGAAGTAAAGTTCATCTAATCCCGGTTTCCCTGGACATCACCACAAGGATGGCAGATATGTGACCTACCAGCCATCGCCTCTTCTCCCATACCCATGGCATCTGCTCCCACCGAGCCTCCATAGAGCCTCAGGATCGTTCTCAGCACAGCTCTCCAGGTAGTCACCCCGAATGGGTCAAAACCCACGTGCCAGGGGAAACCCATTTGCCAAACCTTCTCCTTTGTCAAGATGTGGAGGCTCAGAAAGCCCAGGCGACTTGCTAAGGGCTGGCGCTGGGATGGGAATGCCCCTGGGAAAGGAATTCTGCCCACCAGGCATCTCCCAGGCCTAGCGAGGGCCCCCCGCCCCGTGGGAAGGCCGCTCACCCGCGGACGGCGTGCAGCAGGCGCAGCGAGGGGTACGCGGTCCGCACGTTGACACGGTGCTTGAGGATGAGCTCGTTGACCCACTCGACGCGCTCCTTGCCTCCCCTGGCCATGAAGGCAGGGATCCACAGGATGCTGCCATTCAGGCTGTGCAGCCGCTGCAGCAGCTTCTCCCGCCATGTAGCATTGACCAAGTCCTCAAAGGCCCTCTGGATGACCGAGGGATTCATGGTCACCAGGTCCGTCTTGAGCCCCACATCCTGGGCATACTCCTGCACCGGAGCCAGGTTGCACCTGCCAGAGAGAAAGGCAATAGGGTCCTGTCAGGAAAGCTGAGCCGCTGACCTCTGCTCAGCTCTCTCTCCCCTTTCATCTCTCCTGGCTTCCTCCTAGGCCCCACACAAGCACCCGGGGCATCTCCCTGCACTCATGGGCACCTCTGGTCTCCCTCCATCTCCTCCTCCTGCCACGTACACGGAACTTTGCTAGAACCTTCTACCACACATTCTACCTGTGCGATCCTGGGCAACTTGCTCATCCTCTCTTGCTTTCCAAGAGCTTCCATGACTTGTGCTATTGGTTTGTTGGGAAAGTCACGATGCATTTTTACATAGGAAAACAGAGGGAAAAAATCAGATTTTCCCGACAACCTAATATAATGGAAATCACAAAAGTACCCCCTTACTGCATGTCCAGTAGCTCAATAAATGTTCATTGTTGGGGCCAGGAGGTGGCGTAGTGGCTCAGAGAGATTTTTGCCATAAGACATGTACACTCACCAGAGAGACAGAGAGAGATAGACAGAAAGTGAGAAATCACACCCCAGGGGTGCCACAATCCCTTCTCTTCCACTCTCCTCTTGGGATCTTGGGCATACATGCGCACATGCCTGGCATGAGTTTCAAGTCACTGGACCTAGGACTTGAACCGCGATTGGTCATGTGGGAGTTCAACAATGTAACCATCATGCCATGTGCTGGACCCCAAAGTGTCCATTTCTTAGGAATATTTTGAGTAGGCTTCATGTAGATAAAAGAGGACTGGAGACATGAAACCAGGACCACACGTCATCTTTGCCAGATCATGAAATCCAGAAAGACGCCAGTTCTCCTTCCACTGAAGCAAGGCCTGTCCTCCTTCCACAAGCAGGAAGAAAACGTGGCTATTGAGAGAGAAAATTAACATTACTGAGTCCCTAGTGTGAGCCCAGCCACTTGACTGGCTTTAACATAAGACACCTTATCTTATCGTCACCTGTTTTAATCACCCTTTTTTCACAGATGACGAAACGGAGGCCCAGACTGGAAATTAGCTTGCTCAGAGTCCCAGAGCTGGTAGGGGAACCAGCAAGTACCCATGACTCAAAATCCTATTTTCATTTTGGAGACAATCCCCTCAAATATCCCCTCCTCCCATTCACACCCCAGGCCTTGCCATCTCTGACCATGGCTAAACATTGCAAGGGGACAGAATTGTTTTGGGACATCTTTAGGAACCTCTGCCACTGGCCTCAGAGATTGGCGTGTCATTGACAGCACATTAGCTAATTGGGGGTCATTAATGCCCAAAAGCCCTGCTGGGCCAAGCTTTCATGGCCTTCCTGAGAGTCTGGGTCTCTTCCAGGCCAACTCCCGGGTAGACCCAGTGCGGTTCAGACTTACTGGAATCAACCACAGCTAGTAGGCTTCCTCCTAGAGAGACAGAAGCAAGCAGATGGGAGCCAGTCCGTGGTGGGACCATGGAGGAGCAGGGACAAGGGCCAGGAGGCTCACGCCCCACTGCAACATTGGCAGTCCAGAAACTGGCCAGGGGAAGATGCTATGGGAACCAGGCAGTGTGTGCTGGGACTCTCCCCACCACCCCCCACTCAGCATAGGACCCAGTTCTCAGTAGGGTTTCCAGATGCACTAGAGGGACTTGGGAAGCAACCGTGAAGTCTGAAAAGGAAACTGAACCCCAGACTCAACTCTGGCTTTTCCAATAACTGTACCATGTTTCTCTGTGTCCCCCTAATTCATAGGTTAAAATCTGGTGAGCCATTGTAATATCTCCAGAGCATGGAGACCTAATCCGACTATGGTGTTGAGAAGCAGGGCCATGGGCCAGCCCATGGCTAAGATGGCTGGATCCCACACAGGCAACTCTGTGGTTGGAGTCCTGGACCCGATAGCTTGAGAAACATGCCATATGCATGTGTCCATGCGTATCCAGAATCCCAAAAGGAAGGAGAAAATGGAGGAGAAGCGATTGGGTCATGGCCATGCCCATGGTGGGTGCTTTCTCTCTCACTGTCTGTCTCTCTCTGACTAGCATACATGCCCTCTTGCAAACTGTTGGGTCATCAGAAAGTCACAAAGTACTTTTGCATAGAAAAACATGGCATGACTTTTTTGATGACCCAATAAAAAGAAAAAAAGAAAAAAGAAAGATGGGGCCTTTGGGAGGTGAGGAGGCAACAGGATGGGGTCCCCCCGTGGACTCCTGGTGAATTTATGAAGAGGGGGATGAGGCAGAGGTGAGGACACAGGCATGCTCCCTTCCTCCACCACTTACCCTTTCCCCAGCAAGGCCCTATGCACTTGAACTTCTTGGCTCCGTATCTGAGAGGCAGATAAACCTCTCTTTTTATAAATCACCCCATTTATGAGTCACACAGCGGCCTGGAGCAGCATACCCGGGGGTAGCTCTGCTCTGAATGGACTCTCCACATGCGTCCCTACCCACGGAGGTGAACTGCTGCATCTAGTGGGGAGGGGGGGACCAGGAAAGGGTTAAGCCTGATCTAAGCTCTCCAGTCCAGTGGAGGCCAGGCCTCCCAGAGCACGGTCTGGGTGGGCTGTGGGTAGGCTGCACTGCCTGCATAGACTTGGCTCTGGGCCCTGCCGTCCAGCAGTCACTCCCTTCCAGAAACAACCATGTCCTCTGGTGTACTCTGCAGGGAGAGCCGGAGCCAGGCTGTCCGGGTCAGCAGCCCAGCCCTGACTTTTTATTTATTTATTTTTTTTGCTTAGGCCCTGACTCTTACTGCCTGGTGACTTTTGACTCTCTCTACCTCGATTTCCTCACTGCAAGGCTGGAATAAAAATAGAACATTCCTTCCAGCTCGATGTGAGAAATAAATCGGTTAATAAATACGAAGTGTGTAGAAGAGCCTCCAGTCCATGCTGGGTGTCCAGTGTGTAGGTGTGATGACAGCACCGCCTTTGTTCCCAGGATATTCTTCTTGGAAGGTGTGCGTGCATGTGTGTGTGCATGCATGCATGTTTGCATGCACAGTGAGGTTTTAATCCCCGAACACCTGGAAATTCACTCTGCACACATGATCTTGAATTAGGCTCAGTCTCCTGGCCCTGGTGTGACAGGCTCACGGGATTCTCTGGGACCAGCCTCCTGACCAGTCTTGTTCCATGACACATTAGGCAACCTGTGCTTGCCCAGGCAGCAGCCTCTTGGGCCCCCAAATCTGTCTTCTTGCTTCTGTGTCTTTCCTCATGCGCTTTTCCCCTCCTGACCATCCTCGCTGGTCAAAGCCAAGCCATGCTCTAATGCTGCTTCTTTAGGACGTCTGTCCTGAGCTCCCTGGGAGGTGCCGTGTTTTGCGAGCTCGTTGCATTTTGCATGCAGCATGTCCTACCAAGACTCACAGGTCTGTGGTCCTCACACACAGTATTCTGAGAGGGGGTGAGGTCTTACAGGTCTCTCTGTCTCTTACGAAGAGGAGGAAACTGTAAGCACCAGGCAGGGTGAGCTGACAAAAAGACTTGAGTGGACAGAGAAAGAGAGACAGAAACATCTTCACCAAGAACTTCCTGGTGTCTGTCATCTCACCCAAGCCCCGCAGCCCCGTCTCTTCTGCGTTGGGTACAGTGTTGGGCCGAACGTCTAGCAGTGGACACAGCCACTCTGCTTTGGAGATCACTATCTGGGGGTGAAGTGTGTGTGTGTGGGGGGGGGACACAAGATCCTCAGAGAATGCACGCTTCATGTAGACGTTATGATGCATATATGTCATTTAATGCTCACCCCGCGATCCATTCCTTCTTTGTGCAGAGCTTGAGCCTGTAGGCCGTCTCTGAGTGGAGGGTATGGAGTGATTCCTCTAGTGGGGAAGAACCCGGAGGAGTGGCCCTGGTGGGGTGGGGAGCTACAGCTGCTCTGGGCATTTATCACTGGCATCTCACCAGGTCTGCCCCCACCAGGGATGAAATTTTCTAAAATGCCTTTCAAGTCTACCCAGTAGATGCACAGAACTTCGAGAGTCAAGTACATAGACCTCAGAGTCCAAGGACAACTGCATTTTTTTTTTCTTCTTTTTGGGGAGGTTTTTTGCTATAGGGTGCGTGCGCTTGCCAGACAGACAGAGGGACAGAGAGACAGAAAGCGAGAAATCACCCCCTGGGGGGATGGCCACGCCGCAATCCCTTCTCTTCCATTCTCCTCTCGGGATCTTGGGCACGCATGCACACACGTCCGGCGTGAGTTTAAGCCCCCGGGTCCGGGACTCGAACCATGGTCGACTACATGGGAGTCCAGCAACATAGCCATTATGCTAACTGCTGGTCCCAGCAACTGCATTTTGTATAGTAGTTCTCTCCTTGGCTTTTCAGGCCATTCTTTCTAAATACGTATGGTCTGGTGTGGAAGACACACGGAGGAGCCAGGCAGTGTGCAGTGGCCATGCCTCTTCAAGAGCAGCCCCCAGGCTACCATCAGCAACGCCTGTGACGCATGTTAGAAATGCAGAGTCCCAGGACCAGCAGATGGCATAATGACTATGTCGCTGGACTCCCATGTAGTTGACCGTGGTTCGAGTCCTGGACCTGGTGGCTTAAACTCACACTGGGCACATGTACATGTGGGCCTAAGATCCCAAGAGGAGAATAGAGGAGAGGGGATTGTGGCATGGTCATCTCCCCGGAGGATTGATTTCTCTTTCTTGTCTCTGTCTTTCTGGCGAGTGCACGTGCCCTATAGCAAAAACCTCTCCCCACCGCAAAAAAAAAAAAAAAAGAAATGCAGAGTCCCTTGTGACCAGCAGATGATGCAGTGCCGGACTCCCACGTAGTCACACAGTTCAACTCTTGGACCTGGTGGCTTCAACTCCTGTCAGGTGCATGTGCGTGTGTGTCCAAAATCCTGAGAGGAGAATGGAGGAGAAGGGGGTGCGTTGTGGCTGTCTCCTTGGAAGGTGATGTCTTGCTTTTAAAAAAGAAATGCAGAGTCCCTTGTGACCAGCAGATGATGCAGTGCCGGACTCCCACGTAGTCACACAGTTCAACTCTTGGACCTGGTGGCTTCAACTCCTGTCAGGTGCATGTGCGTGTGTGTCCAAAATCCTGAGAGGAGAATGGAGGAGAAGGGGGTGCGTTGTGGCTGTCTCCTTGGAAGGTGATGTCTTGCTTTTTATCTCTCTGGTGAGTGCATGAGCCCTATAGCAAAAATCTTTCAAAGAAAAATAAAGAAATGCAGATTGGGACCAGACCAACAGATGGTGTAATGGTTATGTAGCTGGACTCCTACATAGTTGAGTGCAGTTCGAGTCCTGGCCCAGTGGCTTAAAACTCATCCCAGGTGTGTGTGTGTGTGTGCATGGCCAAAATCCTGAGAGGAGAATGGAGAGGGGATTGTGGCGTGGCCATCTGCCCTGGGGGGTGATTTCCCACTTTCTGTCTTTCCAGAAAATGTATGAACCCTATAGTAAAAGTCTATCCTCCCCCCCCCAAAAAAAGGGAAAAACATGCAGAGTCCCAACCTCCCCCCACTCCCAACCTGGTGATCTTCATGTCAACACCCCCAGGTGACTCTGTCAGGCAGTTAAAGTTTAAGAAGCTGGCTCAGAGTTTGGCAGTATTCCTAATGCAAAGACCTTAAAGCTGACCTGTCCAGCCTGCCCATTCTACAGAGGATGAAATTGACGCCCGAAAGGGGGGAAGAGGGAGAGAGAGAGAGATGGGCCCAGAAACGGGACAAACGGGCAGCAGAGCCAGGACTACACTGCGGATGCCACGCTACTCGCTTTGCTGTGCAAGTGTCCAGAGAGGAAACTGGTGGCCCAAATCTTCGGAAGCCACCTCTAGAAATTCCTTGGACAGCATCCAGTGGAGCACGGAGAGCTCCCTGTTGATACGACTGTGAGAAAGAAAGAGGCCTGGCTTCTCCCCCTGCCACTAGCTCTGGAAGTCTCCCTCCACCGCCCAGCATGGCACCAACACCAGGAGACAGGCTGACCCTGCCTCTATCTTTTCCTCCCTCCCTCCCACCCCTTACTCCTTCTCTGGCTTCCAATCAGAAAAACTTGCCACCCTCCCTCCCCTTCCTTCTGCTCACCTCACCCTCCCTAAACTGATCTTAAGACTGGAGGGCTTGGAAACATAGGGACTGAACTAGTGGGCAGGCCAGTACAGACAGACCTGACAAAGGATAACAAAGCCAAAGCGACTCTGGATGCCAGACCGCGGTGCTCTCCCATCCCCGTGGAGGCAGGAGCAAAACCCGGTTTCTGTCGGGAGGGCCAGGGGGATTTGGATTAGATTGCATCCCAGAGTTCCAGGACAAGGCTCTCTGTGCATCAGGACCAGCCCGTGGAAACCTGAGAAACAGCCTGTAGGCTTGCCAGGGCCGGAGGTCTTTTGGGAAGAAACTCAAAGCTCTGTGTGCCCTACTTTTGACCAGGGGACAGGAAGGCCTTGTTTCCAAGTCTGTATGAGTTGGGATCAGGTGTCAGGGCCCTGGAGAACTGTGTCTGAAAGTCCCAGGTGACTGGAAAATGAGAGCTGATACAAGGTCTTTGAAAGTTCATGAAAAATGCTTATAAAAATCTATGCAAGGATTTGGGACCAGCAGTTAGTGTAATGGCTATGTTGCTGGACTCCCATGTAGTTAACTGCGGTTCGAGTCCCAGACCCAGTGACTTAAAACTCACGCTGGGCACATGTGTGTGTGTGTGCCTAAAACCCCAACAGGAGAATGGAGGCAAAGGGATTGCAGTGTGGCCAACCCTCCCTGGGGGAGAGGGGGATGATTTCTTGCTTTTTGTCTCTCTTTCTCTATCTCTCTAGTGAGCACATGTGCCCTATAGCGAAAATCTCTCTCTCTCTCAAAAAATAAAAAAAGAGACCAGCAGTTAGTGTAATGGCTCCGTTGCTGGATTCCCATATAGTTGACCGTGGTTCGAGTTCCGGACCTGGCGGCTTAAACTCACACTGGATGCGTGTGCGTGCATGCCCAAGATCCCGAGAAGAGAATGGAGGAGAAGGGATTGCAGCATAGCCATCCTCCCTGGGGGGTGATTTCTTGCTTTCTATCTCTCTGTCTCTCTGGCGAGCTCACGCGCCCTATACCAAAAACCTTTCAAAAAAAAAAAGGGTGTAATCCAGCCAGTGTATCCTGCTTTATAGTCTCTTGGGACAACTGTCCATGCTCAAGTTAAACTTGCCACCACTTAGGCCCAGAGCACCTGCTGCAGTGGGTTACCTTATGACAAAGCTGTGCGTGTCAATCTCCTGCCCACAGCCACTGTTGAGCAGGACCCCGGAGTTGCCCACGATGGCACAGGTCCGGAAGTGCTTGTTCTTTAGTGGTGAGGTCCTGGGGAGGAGCTCGTAGAGGTTCTGGGATACGTTCATTGTGCTGTCTCGGTCAAAGATGTAATGAATAATGTCTCCAGGCTTCAGGGTCCCCTTGAGGACAGAAATGTCCTTTTCAGCATCCAGGAACTTTAAGATCTGCTTTCTGTGAAAATAAAGCATGTGTGAAAAGATCTTCATGTTGTCAGCTGCCTTTGGTCAAGCCAGCTTCTCCTGTCCTATGTCATCCTGCAGGGTGGCTCAGTCTGGCACCCAGGTGGAGCATGCTGAGAGTTCAGATCCTCACCAGGAACAGGTTCCAGGCAGGGCTTGTCAGAAATGGCCCAGGTGAAACTATGGCAGGGGTCAATATGGTGGTTACCCTGGTTTATACCTTCCCCCTGTCAAGGATGAAAACTGCCCTGAGGAATCCCTCCACTAAGATTGGAGGTAAACTCATTGTGGAGGGCCTGGGAGGAAGGCTCTAGAGACGAACCTGGAAGACCTCAAGGAAGGCCTTGCTTGGGAAGGAGACCAACCATCTTGGTTTGCCTACAACTTCCGGTTTAGCACTGAAAATCCTGTGCCCCTGGGAACCCTGCAGTCTTGGGCAAACCTCGACAGTTATTCATTCTACATTGTACCCCTTCTTTTAGGGGGATCTAGGGCCGTCATCTGACAGGGAGTCCTGAACTGGATACACAAGTTAGGAGGACATGTCCCTTGTTCCTCATTGGAGTATTTCTACCCATGGAAGGTTTTTGTGGCAAAAGGGGCCAACTGCGGTGAATGGAAGTGTGGTATGGCATGGATAATGGTGTGGCGTGTGACACTCTCATCCCCGAGACACTGAGAAAGGCCCACATCCTGTGAGCTGGACCTTTTATCCATCCCAAACGCTGGCTAGTGTGGGCTTGGTAAGCCTGACACCTCCCTGGCCCCACAGAGAAGCTGGCTACCTTGTGACAATGCTGTCCTATTATAAAGAAGGTGACAGAGGACAGGCTCTAGGGTGACGCTGATTTAGCAATGTTTTAGAGTCACCAGTGTAGCGTGCATGGGGTCAGGAGAGGATGGGCATCCTCTTGGGCTGATCAGAGAAGTTTAACCCAAACATTTGGCTTCTTCCCAGGGATCTGAGGATCTTAGCTGGGCGTTTTACCTAAAGAACTATCTAAATCCGGGCCACGGTGGTGTGGTGGTTAAGTTGGCTGGATACCACGGGGCCCACTGTATGGTTTGGCTCCTGGACCTGGCAGCTTGAAAAACACACTGGGTGTGTGTGTGCCTCAGATCCCAAGAAGACAACGGAGGAAAAATGACTGTGGCACGGTCATCCCCCTGCCCCCGGGGGTACTTTCTTACTTTCTTACTTTCTTGCTCTCTTTCTCCTCCCCTCTCCCTCCCTCCCCTCTCCCTCTGTCTCACTCCATATACTATGGCAAATTAATGAAGACAGAGAGAGAGAGAACTGTCTAAATGACCCTAAGGACTTTTAGAAATCCAGTCATAAAAGAAAGAAACTTGATACCCAGCTCAGCTGAAATTAGATTTCATTTCCTGCAGTGAGTTCCCCTCTAGACAGATAGAAGGATGCTGGACTGGGTGCCACAGAGCCCTGGGCTGTCACATCCTTGGCAAACGTGAGTATCTGTAGGCAGCCATCCCATCATACAAATGGTAACCCTGAGGCCCGAGAGCCTGCTGGATTGGAGAGGTTCATATTCTGTGGTGTATCCCAGGGGGCTGCACCCTCGGTCACTTGGGAAGCTGAAGAATTTGAAAGCTCTGGGCTAATAGTTGAGAAATCCTGATTCTGGGGACTCCAGGTATCTCTGACCACGTGTCCAGGTTCGGGGGTCTCTGATGTAGTCAGGATGGCTAGAACCCTTGGCAGGGCAGAATCCTCTTCTTCCACTGTCTTTCCTATTTCATGACCCAGATCTCTTGTTAGCACGCCTGACACCCAGCCTTGCTGACTGATTCGTAGCTCCTGATGAATGACAGGCATTGTTCTTATTTACTGTGCTGTACCAAGGATTACACAACTCAGCAAACTAATACAGTTTAGAAACTGCTGAGACCCTTGCAATTACTTACCCTAAAGTATTTAAAAGCAAAGAGAGCCCCCAGAAAGCCCATAAATAAACACCTCTGTGAGTGAATTAATTTCTAGCTAATTATAAGAAATTACTATCAATTATTAAACATCTTTCCAAATCACTCTCAGAATCTTTTATTACGAATAATTTCGGTGACTAATTGAATGAAGTTGAAAGAAATTCGTTTTCCCTCTGGATGGCAGCATGTCGT